GTGGTAATATTATAATGAGATCCCTTTGCCACGTCACCAAGGGAGCGAAATCAGACGCGCTCGTTTTCTCAGACGCTTGCAAAAAAAGGCTTACCAAAACAAAGTGATTGGGTTCATCTTTTTCACGTTTCCTTGGTTGGTAGATGCACCAGGGACCTGATTATAGCACTTAAAACCTGGAAAAGTAAGATTTTCATAATATGTCACCTTTAAATGGGACTGACTCTGAGGCAATCACGAATTTGAGTACAGTTTATGGAGCTAATCGCTATAGCCCCGCTAAAAATGGCCTAGTGACACCCATGCTTCTTACGTCCATTTTGGAGAACCAGGACAAATATTTCAATCGATCGCTCAGGCATTTAAATGGCACCGAAATCTGCGTTCTGATTCGGTTCTAGTACATACCGGTTACATAGGTACCTGTGCCATATTGGCACCGGGATTCGGTACCCAACCCTAATGTGAACTACCCAAAAGTTAATTTGATCATTCAAATATGACTGTATTCTGTCTTATGGATGCATGTAATGTGCATGCATTTGTTTTGCACAAAAAGCAATCAGTGTTTTTTGTTTTTGTTTTTTCTGCAGGTGTTGGGAGTTGGGAGTTGAATGCTTGGCTATGAAACAATAATTCACAAAAATTTTGAATATAAGTAAAAGAGATCAAGAACCCAGCAATAGTTACGGCATTACAAACTGCCCTGAAAGTATTTTTACAAACAGCAGTCTGCTGTTATTTATGCTGCCACAAATTCTTAATCATAGTGTGTTTTTTCTCTATCTCTCTAAAGTGTTTTCAAATTGCTGAAAAATTTTTTTAAAGATCTGAAGTTACTGGCACATTAGGGTGGCGTGCCATCTTTTGGAGCTCTTATATCTGGCTAGATATCCATCAGCCATTATCTCTCTAAAACTGGCAGCTATTATAATATTCATACAGAGTTTAGAATTACCAAGTCCACCTCAGCACACAGAACCCCCATACTGGTCCTGACAGAACCACCTCATTCCTGTCCCCCGTTCATACTGGTCCTTTACAGTCCTGTTCTGTGGACAAGGTACGCACTTCCCCATCACTAAGACATGCTTGTTGTATTATTTTAATCTCACATTTTGGTGTGTTTCTGATTATGATAAATGAGACTCAAAAACCTCTGCTTTATTTTTAATTTCATTTTTCCTTTGGTTAACAGAAACCCTGAGCCCTCTGGACATATAGAATATGACTGCTGAGACACTTAACTTCGGTCCAGAATGGTAGTATATGTATTTCAGATAGTATGACTTTAAATTAACATGCTCTTTCGCACACGTGTGTATTTATGGTCAGGAAATGTGGAGCCATGATCTAAAATTCAAAAAGTTGGCCAAAAGTCATTTTAATTTTCTGACGTAGCTTTTAGCCAGATAAACTGCTTTAGTTACCATCCCTCTGGCCAATAATGTTGGTCTATTTACTTGCCAACAACATATTTTACTTGCTTTTGGCACTTGCCAAAAAAAAAAAAAAACAATAAAAAAAGGAACTCTTTTTCTTCCATTGATTTAATTTGATTTCTTTCTAATGCATTATCACTAAAAACAAAACAGGTGTTTTGCACTTATAAACATTTAAAATGTGTTTTGGATAATCTGACTTTTCCCCTTATTGGTATCCTTTGTGAGAAATATTTAGTGTGCAGTAAATTTATGAACTGCCACATTCATTGTGGCTGATTTTTTTTCTGTTTCTGTCCTACTTCCCTATAAGTGTCAACAGGAGGAAACAGATGTTTCCCCTTTGTGTTTTGATTTTTTATTTTTTTTTTATAAATAAAATATCAATCTCTCCTATCGTTTTCTGCATATACACAATCTTGAATCCAGAATGATTCATTGTTTTTAAATGGGTGATGGAAATAATTACGACGATGTCTGTTTTCTTCAGGCTCCGTGCACTATCCAGAGGGGGGAGTGTGACGTCCCCTCCCCCTTCCCCTGCAATGCCAAAGTCCAAGTTGGCCGACTACCGCTATGGCCGCGAGGAGATGTTAGCACTTTATGTCAAAGATAACAAGGTGAGGTGACTCATGGCTCCTGCAGTAAAAGTCAAATAAATTAAACCGAACAGTAGGGGTGTAAGAAAATATGGATACATGTGAGTATCGCGATATTTTGTTTGGCGATACTTAGGGCTGTGCAGATAATCAAATGCGATTTTCATGTGCATCTCGACAGTAAAGCCGGTTCTGTGATTAGTAGTAAATCTCCAGCACGTGCTTTCAGATGGAGAGGCATTTACTACACAGAGCCGTAGTTCACTGACAAGCTACGCAATATCACGTTCAAAATCGCAGGCGATTCATTGCCGATTATGAACGACTCTGTGTAGTAAATGCCGCTCCATCTGAAAGCACGTGCTGGAGATTTACTACTAACGCGATTTTGTGTAGCTTGTCAGTGATCTACGGCTCTGTGTAGTAAATGCCTCTCCATCTGAAAGCACGTGCTGGAGATTTACTACTAATCACAGAACCGACTTTACTGTCGAGATGCACATGAAAATCGCATTCGATTATTTGCACAGCCCTAGCGATACTGTATCAATTCTCAAAAATGGAATATTGATATTTAAAAAAAAAAAATTCAACAAGATTCATGGCAGTTGTTTCGTTTTGAGTTCATATCCCGACCGCTAGATAGAAGTCTTCATCTCTGAACTTAAACAGTGACAGGAAATACTAGCATTAGGGCACGCCACTAATGTTAGCATTAATATAGTTCGCTGTCGGTGTACAAAGCTGAAGTGTGGCGTCATTTGGGCTTTTGTGGTAACGTCCGCCCTGGGACCACGGCACGGGCGCCCCCTCAGTTTCGCCCGCTTGCCGCGTCCCGTGTGAAGAGCCCTCGCGTGGGGTGCGGCAGGCGGTAGGGTCGGCGGCAGCTTTCTCTCGTGTTGGGGGTGTTTTGTGCAGTTGGGCAGTTGCAGTTGCAGTATTTTCCATGTATTTATAAATACAAACTGAAAAACCTGTGAAATCCAATTTGAAAGGTTCTGAGAATGTTTAACATCTGTATTTATTTTATTGTTTTACAATTGTTTTGTTTTCTTTAGGAATCCTGCAACCACTTTATTTTTCATTGATATTAAGCAGATGTATTTTTTGTTCAGATCAAAATGTTATGACATTGTATGTTACAATTGTAAACTTAAACTATGAACATTTAAAGCAGGGTCTAAAAATATATATGGTCTTTTTTTATAAAATACATATTATACATTTACCTAAAGAATCCTGAAAGCACTTTAATTCCCCCCTCCCCCCCTTTACATACTGCACAAAAATTGGTTCAATAACATTGAATGTTACAGGGACTGATTATTGCAAATGCAGATCCCACTGTGTTCTGGTTAAATAATTTGTATTTATTTAGGCCTATTTTTTGCTAAGGTTTGCATATGGTGGTGTGTTTTTAATGACAGCTTTATCGTGATATGTATCGTATCGCCAGATTCTTGCCAATACACAGACCTACCGCACAGGCCACCTGTATAAGTCAAGGGCCTTTTCATTATAGTAGTTCAAGTGTTAATATAAGAGTCAATAATTGTTTGTCGATTACATACCTAATTGAGATTTTGTTTGCGTATTCAGATCCCTGAGGACATGCAGGATAAGGAGTTTGCTGCTATCCTGCAGGAAGAGCCTCAGCAGCCGTTGGCCTTGGTGCCCCTGACTGAGGAGGAGCAGGTGAGTGATGCATATTGTAGTCACGGGGCAAATTTTTGGATATTATAAGTAATATTGATTGTCGTATTTATATCACTGATTTTTTTTTTCTCTCACCTTTCAGAGAAACTTCTCCATGTCTGTGAACAGTGTGGCTGTGCTAAGGCTTATGGGTAAAGGAGGTGGAGCTGTACCAACAGTTGTAGCTAGAGGGCGTGGAAGCACTCGAGGTGGTCGAGGTGGGTTGTGACCAATGGTGTGAATTAGTGCTGATGACATATTTTTGTAGGCCAACCTGGAGGTTCATACTGGCTGACAAAAACCCAATAGGATTTTTCCACCAGCTTTGGGATTATTGCAGAAAATAAGCTCTGTGATAGGGATGGTCATTTCGGTTATTTTTCCTAACCGACAACCGACTCTCGTTAACAGATTATTAACCGTTAACCGACAAGATTATTTTAAATTAGAATTGAATTAAATTAGAAAGGATAAGTGTCTGTGACCCGTTAAACGTGTTTTCTGGAGATTAATTTTACATGCGCAAAAAGCAGCAAACAACAGAACATGAGGATTCACATGGTCATCATATCACATTACGCACCTGCAGAGCTTCTAAGAGCGGAGAAAAACATAATAAAGCTAGTTTGTTTCCCGGGGATTAATTTTACATGCGCAAAAAGCAGCAAACCCAGAACATGAGGATTCACATGGTCTTCATATCACATCACACACCTGCAGCGCTTCTGCGAGTGGAGAAAAACATAATAAAGCTATATATAAAACGATATATATAAAACGATAAATAGGCCTATACGAGAAATGTATTTTTACTTAAATAATAAATTAAGAAAATGAAAGAAACAACAAGTAGCCTAGTATGCAGAGTTTCGGTTCATTTTTGTGCTGCACGAAAGGAAACCAGATGGCAGAAAGCGGCATCCTATTTTTCTTTAGGCTTATTTTACAAAAGCACAAAGATTTGTTTTTATTGTGAATGTACACAAATAAAAGCAAACTTTTTACAATTCCGATTATCTTTAGGACTAAAAGGAGTAGTTTCTTCCACTGTTAGAAGGAAAAAATTCAAGTGATTGCACCGGCGCCACATGCGCACACACAGCATTGCTACCTTGACAATGCAACCTGTTCATTATCATAATAAAATACAGTCAGTCAAACATATAGAAAAAAAAACTATGTAGTAAAAAAAACAATGTAGTCAAATCTGTGCCGTTAAGTGTTATCACAGTACCGCCGTGATGTGTGGATATTGGAATGCGAGTGAAGTACATAATCAATAATAATTTGGCATTCAAATACATTGCGAATACGGAAACATTTGATTTTGTGTGGAATGAGAGATCCAACGCTGGTTTCAGTTTCATTTTAGCCTAAATTAATTCGTTTTGGCTTGTCGTTTATATTGCTATAGCTTATATTTTTAATTCTTGTTCTTTTCTAAATACTGTTTGTTGTGTAGCCTAGCTATGTTTACAGTGTTTATTATAATTAGAGCCCGACCGATATATCGTTTTGCCGATATTATCACCTGGTAAGGACTCTAGCCGCTGCATTTTGGACTACCTGTAGCTTGTTTATTGAAGATGCAGGACAACCACCTAGCAGTGCATTACAATAGTCCAGTCTAGAGGTCATGAATGCATGAACTAGCTTTTCTGCATCAGAAACAGGTATCATGTTTCGTAACTTGGCAATGTTTCTAAGATGGAAGAATGCTGTTTTTGTAACATGGGAAATATGATATCATGTTAATGTTCACAAATTAACAGAATGATTATGAAGTTTGAAGCCTAAACACAGTCACCAGAAGCAGTGATTATAAACAAAGCAAGGATGTAAAAGAGAACTAATAAGTAGATGGGTTTTCCTGTTCGGCATGAAGACTGCCTTTGTAGCGACGTTTAGCCACTTGTTACCAACTGCCTTTTTCAAGACAAGTAAAAGCTTAAAAAAAACAGCGTGGTTATTACTGATATATTTTAAGTCATAGAGTAAATTATGAAAGTGTCTAGAGCTTGTGTTGACCACAGACCTTATTGCAGGCATTTAACCAAAAACCTCATAGACATTAGAGTGATGGAACCAGAAGTGCTAAAATTCTAACTAGTTCCGGGTTTTGGCATACAAAAGTATGTCAACCTTGCAACACTCTGTTTGGGATTGTTTGGCAGATGTGGCGAGTGTTTGGAAAAACATGTTTGAAAATGGCATTTGTTTTTCCAATTCCGTTTGTTGATGCTAGTGCAGAAATTACAAGCTTGCTTTAATAAATTTCTGTATGGATATGAGTGTAAAATAAATGAATTTGTGTGTGTGTGTGTCATTGACTACAATGAAGATCATCCTTCCAGTTACATGTGTTTCTTCATCTTATTTTTGTAAATAATTACAAATCATGATTTCTCAAAAAATGTCTAGGTCACATTTCATCTATTCCCAAGAAATTAGTATATTATACAATACATATTCATTTGATAGTGTTGATGGAATAATATATATATATATATATATATATTTATTTACTATTATTATTATTTTTTTTAATTTTTTTTTAGGTGTTTTAATAATTTTTTGTTTGTGTGCAGGGAGAGGCAGAGGAGAGGGCGGATTCTACCAAAGAAGTGTGGATGAAGAGGTCGGTTTTGGCCGAGGACGAGAGATGCACCGCAGTCAAAGTTGGGATGACAGGTGAATTTATACATCGTAAAGTTTTATATACAGTGTACATATTTGTCTGAATATCAATGTTTATAACATGCATTTGTATAACTTAAATCCATCAAGACATTGGTGCAGAATGAACAGTCACTCTCAGAATAAATGTCAGACATTCTGTTGTGCTGATCATTAGTATTTGCTATTTCAGAAGTGAGCGGCGCTTTGAAAAGCCCTTGAGGCGTGATGGTGGGCGTGGTGGTTTTGAGGAGGGAGGAGCAGGAGGAAGGAAGGACTACGTGCGCTCAGACAGTGATAACTGGCGTACGCTCAGAGAGGAGCAGGAGGACGATGATGGGGCAGAACCAGATGGAGAAGGTGGACGTAGAAGGGCTGGAAGTGAGGGAGGAGCGGAAGAGCGAGATGGCCTGCCTGAATGGTGCACCGATGAAGAAGAAGGGGAGATGGGAACCTTTGATTCTTCTGGAGCCTTCATGTGCATTAAGGTTTGCTTGTCTTACAACGCTTTTCTTTAAATAAATTTAATAAAATAAAGTAACTTCCTGTTAAGTAAGTAAAAAAAAAAGAGATGGATTAAATCAGGTTTGTGTTACCCTTTAGAAAAGCTCCAGAGATGCAATCCCTGAAGACCAGGAACTAGAATTTGAAGCTCTGGAGGAGGAAGAGGAGGGTGGTCAAGAGAAGGACAGCCCTGCTGATAAATGTAAGAAAAGTCTTAGTTGATGCTGTATCCGGCATGTTCAGCAGGAAGTGACTGTTGCCCTTTGTTCTGCATCATGTGACCTGCTCTGACCAAGATTGCTTTAAATGAACATTAAACGTTTAGTGTCCTCCATTTCTCAAGCTGATGTATTTCCTCTTTTTTTTTTTTTTTGCTGTTTTCTAAACTTGCCTCGCTTCTGTCTTTTTTTTTTCCAGCGGACACATGTGAAGCAATAGCTGTGTGTGATGGAGACAGAAAGTCATCATCTCCTCATGTGGTGTCTGCTCCTGCCCCTGTGCACCCTGTTGCAGAGGAAAAGACTCCCAAACCCATAGTCACTCCTCCTTCAAAACCTGCACCCCAACCATCTGAAGGTTCTCTATCTCTTTTTTTTCTCTCTTTTTGTGCATTTTCCCTTTTTGTTCCAAGAACATGCAATGCAAAAAGCTCTGGAACAAGACTGAGTTTGTTCTTATAGATGCAGCTCCAGCAGGTGGCACCACAACGCAGATGCAGAGCTCCTCTCCTCCCTCAACTACTGGTACTCACCTTCCAACAGTAGGGGGAGACACCGAGGAGGAAGATGGCATGAAGCACCTTCAGCAGGTTAGCGTGCTTGCTTTTTTGTTTGTTTTTGTTGCTCTTACAATAGAAGGTCAAAGTAAAAAAGATCTCTTTTAAAGGAGGCTGAGAAGATGGTGGCGTCCCTGCAAGACACGTCTCTTGAAGAGGAGTGTTTCACTCAAGCTCTTCAGGAGAGCCACATCACTGCGGCACACACTCACACACACCCGAATACGCACACACACTCTCACTCCACCTCACACACTCTCCCGAACTCCGCCAGTGCTCTGCCCCTGTCCCATGAATCCGCAATGAAGTGGTTCTACAAAGACCCTCAAGGGGAGATTCAAGGTGATTCTGACTACCACGTCAATCTTGGAGGGTTTTTATGTCTTCATCACAGCATTAAATGGTGGGCTGTATTGGTTGTCTCTCTTTCAGGTCCTTTCACTACAGTGGAGATGTGTGAGTGGTTTCAGGCGGGGTATTTCTCCATGAACCTGCTGGTCAAACGTGGTTGTGATGAGGGATTTCAGCCCCTGGGTGAAGTCATCAAGATGTGGGGGCGTGTGCCTTTCTCTCCCGGCCCCTCCCCTCCTCCACTGCTGGTGAGGAACACTGTGAAATATCCAGAAATGGGTTTGATGATGCTTTGTGCCATGTATTAGTAATAATTTACTCAGGGCTTTGTGTATCAACAATTTCACCATGTTCCTAAATCCTTAACCATGGTAAAATCAAGAATAGCCTTGAGTTGCTTGTTGCTTTTGTAAAATAGTCAAGTAGGTGTCAGAGCTTTAACCTTTTAAGGCAGTGCTCTAACATATTGAGGTCATGTTACAGATGACCCAAATTCATCTCATATCTCATATCCTCCCATTCTACATTTCCTGACGGTTCTTTTCTCTCCAATCCTAAAACTTCTACAAAATAAAGTATTCTAGTTGGATGGAGATACAACTTTTTGGTCTGTTTTTCTGTTACTTTAGGGGAACATGGACCAGGAGGTATTGAAGAAACAATTAGAACAAGCTGCCACTGCAGCCCTGTACAAACAACTTCAGATGAGATTTCAGCACATGAACAGGTATCACCGACTAGCAATTAATGCATCAGTTGACCAGGTATATACTTGTGTTTTGGGTTTATGAGCGATGTGTTTGGGTCTCAGGTGTGGTGAGACTGGGATGATGCCTGCGATGAACAGGTCCATGTCAGTGCCAGACACCGGGCCCATGTGGGACATGCCTACCTCAGTCTCTCAGCAGTCAGGTACTACCAGCTGCATTGATGCTTTGTAATAGCCACTTTATTTTATGAAGTGCTTTTGTTACACCACTGGTTTTTCTGTTTTGTAGGCGGTGATACCAGTCTGTGGGACTTAACCATGAGTAACTCCACTCAGGGTCCAACTCTTGAACATTTGCAGAAAGTACGTAACCCATGTGATCTTGAAAGTGCCTTCAACATATGCTATAGTAAAGCTGTCTGTCCTGCTAGATTACATTGATCTTGTCTTGATCAAGGACTCATGGTGACTAAAGCCCAAAGCATTACTTAATTTTTTTTATGTGAAAATTTAGCAAATGTGTACAACTGTGCATAGCCTGGATCTTGTCCAGTGTCTGCACTATTACTCTCCAAAAGTTACAGATAAAAATATCTTTGTACCGGTTTAAACAGAGTTGCTCATGTCTCTTAACCGACTCACACAAGCGTTCATCAACGTAGGCATCTATTGCTGTCTCCAGAAATAATTTTTTTTCCTTATCTGTTTTTTGAAACGGCGGGCCGTGGCAGTGTTGCCACCATGTGGACAAAGTGCAGTCAGAAAAAACAATTTGCACGTTTACTGTACATGTGTACTAACTATGCTTATGAAGAATTTGTACTGTACCTATACCCTAATGTATACGTTAAAAAACAAAGTAAACTTTGGACTTCAGCAGGACTGCGATGTCACCAATTAATCACTCCTCTCGGTGATCACATTTCATGTTGAATGTGTGAACTTCACCCATATTGCTCTTTCGGTCATTGAGCCTGTGCTGCCCGTGTGTTAGATCCAGCAGGAGAGGCGTGAAGCTGAACTCAGGAAGCGTGACGAAGAGGAGAGGAAACGGAGGGAGGAAAAGCGCAGGCAGCAGGAGGAACAGAAGAGGAGAGAGGAGGAGGAGCTTTACAGACGAAAACAGGTGAGCACATGGACACACTGGGCTACAACTGTTGCACTCTTAAATGTTTATGATGTGTAACACATTTGTATGTTTGTGTTTTACAGCAGTGCCGTCAGCAGCAGGAACTGATCATGAAGTTTCTGCAGCAGAGCCAGCAGCAGCAGAGCGTGCCAGGGGGCGCAGGGTGGAGCGGAAGCCAGGCAGGAGCTTTGTCTCTGGGCAAAGCTACCGGAAAGAGCATGGGACTCCTGGAGCTGGAGGCAGAGAGACTTCACAAACAGCAGCAGCAGAGAGCTCAGCAGCAGCAAAGGGTAAAAAAACATCTTGAGCAGTTAATTGTTTAATATGCATCCGAATGGCTGGCAAACAGTTTGTAGTCTTGGGTTTAAAGAGGTCTTCCTCGTAAGAGTTGCTGTTGTTTTAGTTCATTATAACATTGTTTCGTTCAGCATGGAGGTTTGACAATGGGCCAGTGGAGTGATGGGCCATCTGGGATGTGGTCAGGAGCTGGCATGGAAGGGAAGGTCGGAGGTGGCAACCCTGCTATGGGCATGTGGGATGAGGCCATGAAAAACCAGGCCAGCCATCGCAACATTGGCCTCAAGAACAGCCGCAGCAGTCCCTCTCTCAGGTACACAAATTTGCACTCACAATTTACCTTTCCATTTAAACCAGTGTTTTTACACACAATGTTCACCCCAAACGTGTCTGTGTTCTCAGTGATCAGTACATGCTGAATCGGCATAAGCGTACTGACGATGAGGAGAGGCTTCTGAAGCTTCTTCAGGGGATGAAACCTCAGGACGGTTTCACCACTTGGTGTGAACAGATGCTCCACGCTCTCAACACCTCTGCAAATAACTCCTCCTCAGTGGACGGTAACTATGTCACATCTGCCATTCGCCTCTTTTTCTTCTGTCTTCTCCAAAAGGAATGGAGATTAAATTTATCATGCTTGCATTTCTCTTGGTAGTGCCCACCATTGTGGCATATTTGAAGGAGGTGGAGTCTCCATATGAAGTTCATGACTTTATCCGTATTTATCTGGGTGATACCATTGAAGCCAAAGAGTTTGCCAAGCAGTTCCTGGAGCGCCGTGCCAAACAGAAAGCGAACCACCAGAGACAAAAGCAGCAGGTTTGTGAAGGACTATTTTTCTTGTTTAATGTTTGTTCAATTCTCCACACTGGGTGAGTCTTAATGTACTGAAACTTTCCACAGCTGTCCAAGGAAGTCTCTGGATTAAACATGAACTTCCCCCTGCAGGTAGATTACATACTGTTTTACTGGATTTTGAAAGAAGACCTATAATATTTCCATTTTTAGTTTTCATTTTCTATTAGTCCATTGTTTAAATTCTTCCTGCTTTTTCTTCTTATAGTCAATGTTCCAGGCAGCTCACATGAGTAAGGGCGGCAGTGTGTACGACACTCAGGGAGGAAAAACGAATAAAAAGCCTAGCATGATGCTCCATTCTGACCCCAGTATCCTCGGTTAGCGTATACGCTCGCATAAACACTCACAAACCCCTGCTGGGTTCCATTCAGCTTTACCCATCAGCATGCATACATTACCCAGAATAACCCTTGAACTACTGTTGTTTTAATCTGCATTCTGGCTCCTTGTCAAATTCTTGCTGTCTGGGTCATAGTGAGAACTTCATCTAGCAAAGAGAACCTCTTTACTGATGTACTTATTGAAAAGCATTTTCTGCCCTGCTTCAAGGGGGAAAAGTTTATGAATTAGTCATTAGTATATTCCCAGATGGGAAATTTCTTGTAGAAAGTCAACCCTCAGACCTCTCAACCTCTGTTCTCCTGTTTCCCACCTCCGCAGGCTACTCATTCCTGGGGGGAGGTGAGCTGGAGCAGGTGGAGGATTACTGACCCAGCCCGTCTACTTGAGTTTACCTGAGGCCTTAAACCTGGAGCAAATCAGCAGAGGAATGTGCACTGCTCAGTGAGGGAAGGGGCGGGCAATATTTGTCCACACCCCCTCTCTCTTTCTCCCTCTTTCTCTCACTCTGCACTGTGAGAGGAGCAGAAGGAGGTTATTGGGAGGTTCGGTGTGAAGAGGAGATCCTCTTCTGCCTCCCTTCAGTAAAGCACCTTACCTAAACCATTGCACTTTAATGTTTTCATATTTGAAATGGAGTTGTCTCTCTTTTTTTTTTTACAATGCAAAAATGTGTGAATATATTGTTGCATATATTATGTGTAGAATATTTGTATGAATATACATATGAGAGGTAGGAACGGAGCGGTTTCCGCCGTATCAAACGTGGAGGTTTGGAAATGTTGGGGAGATATAAGTTGAGCATCTCTCCTAAAAGACAAACACTGTTGTATTTTTATGTTCATGGTAAAGCTATCAAAATATGAATTTGAAAACTTGAAGATTTGCACTTGTTTAACAAAAAAAAAATGTTAGGATAGGTTGAGGTTTTTTGTGAGTGCGTGTGCAAGCGTAAGAGATGAAGTCTGCACACATTTTATTGCTTACCGACGTGTATAAAACAAATGCCATGCTTTTATTTTGTTCAACACAATTTTCTACTTCATTGACCGTGTGCGTGAATGGACAGAAGTAGTGTTGGCGCTTTTTTGTACATAGGCTCTTAAAGAGACCGATAGGAGAGTCAAGCGTTGCGTTTTTACCCTCCAGTGTTTAAAAGCATGAATTGAGGTGCTGTTTGGCCCGTTTGGCTCTGTTCTAAGAGGGCAATCGGGCTTTGTGTTTGGTGTGTAAATGTAGCTCCTCTGTTGTCTGTACACAAACTACTTACATTACAACTCTTCCCCTTTCACTCATTCTCAGTCCACGATGTGAAATGTTGCCTTCTGTCCAGAAAGTGTGTGTGTGTGTATTCTCTTGGCTGGTGTTTTGAGATGTTACAAGGGCACTGAGATTCTGTATGTCAGTTGTTACTTTCTTTTTTGTTGCTGTTGAAAAAGGATGAATGATTTATTTTTTTTATTCTATACAAAGTATTTGAACTTTGAGTTGGAGCACTTTCTAGGCTGCTACCTTGTATTTTTTGAATAATGTTTTTTTATTTGTTAGGGTTTTTTTATTTTATTTGCCTCTTGAGGAGGATGTATTATGAATGAATGTATTCCAAAACAAACTATGTATAACAGTGCATCTAACAATAAGGCTTGAGTGTCTCGGAGTGAAACAGGACACGCCTCACCATTCGGAATATGCCTATTGTCAGTCTTATTACTTGTGCTATTGATGCAGGGCCATTGAGAGCCAAGGATCTGCAGGGTGTAGCAGGACATTTTTTTGGGGGGGGAGAGGGGCATTTTTTTGGGGGGGGGGGGAGAATCTATTCTAGAATCCCCCCCAATACATGAGTTTTGGGATTGAAATATGTGATGTTTTGCATCACAAATGTTTATTCACCTGAATTGGAAGAGACTGAGGATCGGAACAGAGGAGATTTCGGTACTTGATCTGTAGAAAAGAAAAAAAAATCCTGCTTTAAGCGTATTTCACTCTATTCTGACTGGATTATATTTTTGTAAAAAAAATAAAAGACAATGACTGAAAACAAGTACGGAGAGGTGGATATCGGCACTAACTCAAATGCCATTCTGGAGTCCGAAAAGGAGTGGCAACCAGCTGCATTTAGTGCTACACACAGAGCGCGAGACACAGGGAATACGTGCGGATCCATTTCATCCTCACACCAAAGGGATGTAGTTTTTTGCATCCTTTGAGCTGCAATCCCCACTGCTCTCTGCAACACTATCAAATGAAGAATATTCCTACAGCATTTGAAAAAAAAGTGGTAATTTTGAATGTTTGATTAAAAAAACAAAAACCTTTATGCCTTTTTAGAAGATTACTGTGCGGAGAAACTGCAGATCTCACGTCTATCAATCATATTTCTTCAAAAACTTCCTTACCTGCTGTGGGTTGAGGAGTCTAGATGTGATGAATGTTTGGAGAGGAGATGAACTGAAGCAAACTCTCCTCGTTTCTTCACGCACTTCACTTGAACTAAATTTCAAGGACACAGACTTGTCATGATTGCCTGTCAATACATTGAAAAATTTAGAGTATTACAGCAATTGTTGACATTATGAAGTTCATGGATGCTTGTGAAACAGCTGAACTGCAGTGAAGCAGGTGAGATGCGACAGACCGAGATTGAAAATTGTACATTTATTTACATTGTGGTTTAATCTGGTTTTTGTTTTTCAGTTCTTCCAGGATGGACGTAACCTAGATCTCTCTGCTGGTACCATCACACCCACCAATACGCATCATCTGATGTCGTCAAACTGGATTTAGCAAGAGACCACAACTCTTTCTCTACTGTTTCTCTCTTCCACTCGCTTTCGTCCTGACAGCATAGAATGGGACCCACAGACAGACTAGGTGTGTGCATGCATGTGGAGAGACGGTATGTGTCTGTACAAAGACACTCGTACATTCTCCTGTCTCACTTGTGGGTGAGGTGGGGACTGGATGTCCTGTAAATAATGTAAATGATTTTGGTCCCTGTTTGTTGAGTTCTGTTCATCTTAGGGCATCATCTTGGGTGTTTCACATGCCTTAATTGTACAAAATAGAACTGCCCTGGTCAACATTAATGTAACACTCATTAGAAAAACAGCACAGGCTATATCTGCACCACTCAGTCATCTAAAGTAATCTGAGCCTGGCTGAGGATGTTTCCCCCTACGTTGACTTCACTCATCATACCAGGCTGTGGGATGTTTCCCACAGTGTTGTCTATGTATTGTTGGTATGTTAATGTTCAAGTGAATAACTGCAATTATTGACATGTACAGATAAAGGTTGATGAGCATTGGTATATGCTGAAATCTGAAAAAGAAATGATAAAAGTAAAAAAAAAAAAGGTAGTTTGCCTTCCTTTATCAGTTCGGCATTGACATTTTTTTAGTTTTAAATGATTAGGTGGGTACGTACAGAACATGGGGCTTGGTTTTGCTTTGAGAAGATCAAAATATGTTAAACTGAAAATAAAAAAATTAAATGCTGAATTTGTTTTCTGTCATTGTTACAATTATTGGCTTAGACCTTCGTTGTTTTGTCTTAAAGGGGTCATATGATGCTGCTAAAAATAACATTATTTTGTGTATAGCGAAAGCCCCGGCTTAGCGTGAGCTGAGGCCGGGCAAGAGTGAGCTGAGGCGGCGGGATCGAGAACGGCGGTCCTGGCGGATCCGACGAAGAAGCGGTAAAAACGGTGAAAGCCGATCCGGCGATCCACAGCACTAAGTTGATGTATTTCCTCAGCGACCAGCACGGATCAGCTCTAGGCATGACGAAGCGGATATCGTCCTCTTTTGGAAGACCAAACAAAGTAGTTTCGCTTTCACAACGAATCACACAGCGTCTTCACGACATGGCGGCGGCGGCAACAATACTACAGCGAGAATAAAAGTTACGCCTTCTTTCTTTGCGTGAACATTTGGGCGGCGTTATGCAAATCTTCCCACATAGTGAGGTAGATATGTGGGGGCGTGTTCGAACGAGCCGTTTTAGGTAGGTGTGGCCTACCTAATTTGAGACTTTAGTCTTTGCAAATTTACAGATCTTCTTTATGCACCAAGAGCTTGTAACACTCCAAAGAGAAAGGAAAAAATGAAATTGCATCATATGACCCCTTTAAATGTAGTCAGATTTGACTCCTGCTTTGCGACTGTTTTCCTCTATGAGGCAGTACAATCACGCTTCTGCTTCAGAACCTCAGGGAGTATAAATTACATTATAAAATATTCGAGGATTATCAGAGCTTGATTTCTTGATGCCAAATGAAACTAACGTTACTAAAGATAAAAATCATCGTGCTTTCAGTCATTTTCAGTCACAGCGTTAGGAACCATTCTAAATTCATGTTAAGTCTACACAGCATAAACCTCCACCATTTGATTCCCCAAGGAACCCAGAATCACTCTTTTGTACTGTTTTTTGACAGATTTTAGATTAGACATAGGGCATACGTTTTAAGTACACAAACCTTGTTCTGATGTGCCTCGAGCTACCTGAATAAAGTTGAGGAGGTTGGAAACGCCATGTTTCTTGGAAATACTGAATTGAAGCCGATTCGAGCCCTACCGTCCTCGCAGGTTACTTCATAGTAGTTATTTTGATTTGTTGGCCGTAAAGTTGCAGTTACATTTAAATTCAACAGTATTGAAAAATACTTCAGAGAGTAGCTTTTCTCAAGACGGCATCCACAAACTCTCCTCCCAACAGTCACCAACACGCGCGCTCACCACAGTTGTTGCCATGTCCGCTTATTATAAGCAACTAAAAATAGCTTTTTTTTATTTAAAATATAAATGTACTATTTCACTTAAACGCACTGTCTATTATTTAATAAAATACTACATGTGGAAGTTTGTAATTTAGCTATTTTTATCCAGACTGTATTTAATCTATATATTCTGTCTTGATAAGTGAAATTACGGAGTTATACAGTGCCTTTCCCATAATTAATAAATAACTACTAAACCTTTAGAAATGAAAAGCAGAGCTGGCCAATTTCGGTCCGGCTTGTTTTATCAGACTAGGTTGCTTGTTTCTACTGGGATCTGGCAACAATGCTGCCGGCGCGCGAGTCAAAGCGCCAGACTTTGCAGAGCAGCAGAGAAACGGAGAGAGCGAGCGGCACGCGTTGTATCCATGGACTACAGGAATATCTCGTTTCTTGTCCCCGACATTTCTGCGTTTGTTGCAGTAGACGTTTACCGATTACTGCCACTTACCTAATTTCAGTGCCCTAAACGGGTTTTGTTTCTTGTTTTTCTTGTCGGACTGTGATTCATTGGGTAAGTAAGTGCTGGGGGTTCATCCTCACTGTTGTTTCAGGACTGGGACATCATATTTGCGTGAATATTTTGGATATTAGATGAGCGAAAAGTTCTGCACCTCTCATTTTGGACACCAGAGGCGTGTTCTTCACCAGCGTGAAAGTACGACACAACTTAAACACTTTTGTCCACCGAAAAATTGAATTATTTCTACCGGGTGGATGTTAATTTTTCTCAACGGGAGTAAAAATACAACTCCAAGTCCTTGACAGAAATGCTAATGCTGCGGTTGATGGAGAAACATTTCTAAAAAATCACCCGCAGTGGACCTGGCGCCCCGCATCAGTCTGCGTGCGCTTCAAAACATTTAACTTCACCCCATGTACAATCATAATATTGTTTGAAATTCATCCCAAATCAGATTCATACATTGACCATATGGCTTTGCCTTCTCAAATTTGACAATTACTTGGGACTTTCAGTTGAGGTCATTGACTCCTTTGAATGGAACAAAGGAGGTTGATGTTTCTGAATCTGCTTTCTTTTACAAACATTCAGAGATTTGTTCTCAGAGTCTTTCAGATGTGGATGTTGCGGTCACACCATCTCCTCAAGCGCAGAGGGTTCTAGTGAAGTTCAACCCTCCACCAGTCTTTTGTCTCTATTAGGTCCCATTCATTTGTCTTGTAGGAGGAACATGGGAGTCCAGACGAGGGGAGCCTGGGTGGCTACGGCGTTCTCGGACTGGGTCAGTGGATTGGGAATTCTCTTAATCTTCCTGATGGAGAGTTTAGCAGTGGATGCGACCAACATGGAGCCAGTCTACTGGAACTCTTTGAACAGAAGGTATGTTGGTGGTTGATATAAAACTCATTCACCCAGATACAAGTTTTTCAACAAGTTCAGTCTTCTAAAGACTGGCTTTAAGTGTCAAATGCCTCCAATTACAGATCTCTATGGTAGTGTAAATAATACAATTTAGAATAAATTGTAATATTTGTCAATTTGCATTCATGCATGTAATCCTAGCATTAAACTAGTTGGAACAGAATGTTGTACAATAGAAAGATAATTCTAATTACATTTTGATTTTGATTCTTTTAGTCAAGTTACTTGTAAACCACATAAAGGATCCTGGAAAACCTAAAAATATAATTCAAAAGTGTGACTTCTATAGTCAATATCAATTTTTGTAACGTGTGAAAAAAAATTGGTGTAGAAACAGTTTCACTCAGAAATTGCTAGTAAGTTTTACAATTAATTTCAAAGAAACTCCAGTTAACACATTGAATTAAACTTGAAATTTTTAAGTAAAAAGACTGAAATCATATTTTATTGTAAAACATACTCCAGTATTTTTTATGTTTATTTCTTTTACTTTTTTGTAAGTGTAGTTGTGCTCCATGTTCTGAAGTTTTTCTTTGTCTAGATGTTTTTGCAAGTATATTTTCTATCAAACTATTTTTAAAATTCATTATCAAGCCATTATCCAGCTTTGAAAAGTAATTAAAAAATCAAGGAAATAGGTCGGAAAGTGTGGGAACTATGTACATATAAACTCAACCCCAGTTGGGACAGGGGTGACTTTGGCCTGGGACACAGTCTAGTTAACGGTTTGGACAGACACACTCAACTGAGAGAGACGGGGGTATTTTCCGGCTGGCTGCCTCCCGATTATGGGTCGCGTGCATGCCCTCCCTAGATAAGGCATTCATGCTTTACCCACAGTGACACAATCTGCAAACCCACGCAAAGGTCCTTTGATTTTTGTCTGTGCTGAGGATGCTCTCTGAACAAGAGGAAAGGAGAAGCCACGTTATGAAGAGTGTAGACCTTGGATGAGAGACCGAATTAGGAAGTCTCTCAACCCTGAGAAGGAGATGAATGAATAAGTGGAAGAAAAAATAGTGGTTAGGCAACTAGGCAGTTGGTTTGTCTAAAAAAATTTTTTAAAAAAATGCCTCTGAGAGCTTCACTCTGACAGACGGATGGTAGAGAAATATAATTAGAGAAGACAAATAGATCTGAGGCGGAAAAGATAAACATGGTTGGCTAAAAGAGAGAAGAAAATAAAGATTAAATGGATGCTGAGCCAGAGTTTCAACTTATGAAGTAGAGAGAAGGAATTGAGGGGTTTGTGCAGATAAAGTCATATATAAAAAGCGATAGAGAAAGTCATTCATCCATATGAAATATATGTTCCTCTGATATCTGAAAAGGTCAGCGTGTTTACTCACACCACGACAGCCACATCCCTCTTAGGTCATCTCGCTCTCTTTTCACTCTCTCAGACTCTCACACACACACACACACACATTTGACACATATGCCCACAAGACAATTGAACATTTCATCATGCACACAGAGATGCCAGAATATTAATTAATATAAAAAAGCTTCATGAATAGCATTCTACAGCAATGTGTTGATGTGTCATTTGTGTTCATAATCTGACATATTGATTGCATGAAACTGAATGTTAAATGGCAGTCTGGGACATGATGTATTCCATCAGGAATTGATTGGATCATGACATGACAAAAATGGAAAACATGACCGAATGCAAGTTTATTGAAACAAGGCTTTGAAGGTTGCCTGGCAATTGGTTAATATAACCTAATAGACCACAAGTCAGGAGTTTTCAAACTGGGGTACAGGAACCCTGTGAGGGCTGCAAGGGGGTGCTAGAGGGTCTGTGGAAATTTTTGTAATTTTTTTTAGGGTTGTTTAAGTTAATATGTTAACATAAAATATGAATTAAATATATTTATAACACAAAAAAGTACAATATTTATCTTTAAAAGTGTTTAAGAAATAATTCTGAAATTAATTTAAAATGCTTGCTGCCAGGTTTATACATTTAACATTACATGACTAGTGGGTGCAAAAAAGATACATTAAGCTTGCAGTTTTTTTCAACTGCTTACACACAAAATTTTTACTTGTCACAATTTCTGAAACCTGGCACTCAAACACCAGAACCACACACCAAATCTGCAAAACCATATGCTAATTCTCGTCCTTTGACTCAGTTTTCAATTTCATAAAACACTTTTTGCAAAACACGACACAATTGTCTGTGTAACACACAAAAATCTAATAGCAAATGTTTGCTTTTGAGATTTTTAATTTTGATATTTTGAATGCAGTGCTTCATTTTGCAAGAGATGTGAGGCATTTTACATTTTGTGTGTGCAATTCTTGGATTTGTGTGTAAAGTTTTGAAAAAAGAGGCAAAGTTTTGAAAACGCGTGTAAGCAGTTGAAAAAACTGTAATACAAAGCAAATATTTTACAGATAATATATTTACATTGGGTTTTGTTAGAGTAAAGTACAGTAATATAAAAATCTATAATTTTGTAAATAATTTTTTTTTCTCAAACAGTATAATTGCATGTTTGTATATAAAAATATAAAGTTGTTTTTATATGTTGGGACTACATCATATTTTGGGCTTCTTGGGATCAAGAAGTTTGAAAACTCTGGCCTAAGTAATGCCAGCAGAAAGAGGAAAGGCAGCTTACCACTTCTATTAAAGATTACAAAGATTTTTGGGGGGGGAATAAAGTGCATTGATGCATAATTTACAATAAGACCAGAAACATTCATTAAAATGTAAACAGGGTCAGTTTTGATTTCATGTTGTTGACTTTAACCTGACAACACTCAAAGGTCTTGTTAAGTCATGTAGTCTGCTGATGTCTGGAGAAAACCATTAGTAACTCCATAGAGCCTGTGTCGAGAGAAAAAAATGACGTTGAAACGGGCCAGACAGGTTATGGGATGGGGTCGCTGTGATTTTGCCAAGTAAGACATGTTCCTGGATCAACATTACTGTCCAAAAATACAGCCTTAACCCAATCCCTACCCCTAAACCTAACCTTACTCATAATTTATTCCTAAAATCAGAGGGAAATGATAGCTGATTAACAAGGGTGTAGAAGCACCTAATCCAATTGTAAGCCTAAAACTGACATTTCCTGAAAAGTTATCTCTCAATTCTGATTGGTTGATTGGAATGATGTTCCAGGATCAACAAGGATGTTGATCCAGGAACATGTTGTACTTGGTGAAATCACGCTCACCTATGGGATGGAGGGGTGCATTGGAGGAGAGGAGTGGATTTCGGCCCCTCAATGAGCGTAATCAATGGTTAGCACAGACTGTCTCTATGCATCGCTCCGGGGAAAGTTGTTGTACAACTCTGTGCCTCAAATGAACATTAAAAATTTAATCCTTCGTGGCTCCCTCAATATTTAATGAATCAGCTGCTAATTGGAGACAGATAAAAGCTTTCTTAACTGGGTTAAGCGTTTCACATTAAAACATTTTAAGGGTAGGAAAAGATACTTTGGAAAACTGACAAGCAGAGCACAGAGCCTACATCAGATCTTCAGACTTTTGACCATTTTACTGTAGTCGCGGTAGGTTTTTTCTGGCGAATCTGTGATTGATTGGTTCTCCTTTGCTGAAAGATCTTCTATAGAGCCTTTCTAGGGACCGAGAGCAGAGCGAGATTAAACATTGTTAGTGAAAAGAATGGATTTAGGGTTTGTAAATGTGCTTCACTGTGCAAGGCCCTCCCACATCTAGCCATTTGTGTGCAAGAGAGTGTTTTTTTGAAGAGATAAGACCTCATGGAAAATGTTACATTGTTAAAAGAGAGATTGTGATTGTGGCATTAAATGGACTGAAAATGGAATTGTACCACTTGACCGCAGTTTCCAGGGGTGCGAGAGTGGGAGGATAATCCTCTACACAACACCCCTCCATTAGTTCATCATATGGACTGCTCCATCATCAGACAGGCAACAAAGCCATCTGTGAAGGGATTACTACCTCTATACACACTTTCTCTCTTGCGCTTTTTCTTTCCGGGGTTAATGTCTTTCTCCCTCTCTGTCACATTCCCTTCACCTATTCATCTTCTTATTTTTTTCTCTCCTCATTCATTACCTCATTCTTTTGTGTCACTGCTCTCTCTCTCTGTCTTTCCCAGAGGATAATTTTATTGCTCAGAGGTTGCTCTTTTATAGCTCATAGTATCAGCTTTATCTCTGAGATTTTTTTCTACAATGTCTTTGGGGAAATACAAATGAGATAATTATTGATGTACAGTAAGGAGATTAGTCAGATACTTTGAAATGTTTGAGTTCTGAAACTTCCAGACTTGTGTGTAGGCAAATCTGACAGTGTGGTCTCATTAATAATCATATATTTGCAGGTAAAGTGCCGTTCTCATAGACCCTGACATGTACATTATTAACATATTGACAGCATGTAAACTGTAAGCATTTTACCTTTGAACAGCTTTAGAGACATGCAAATGTTTTTGAAATCTTTAGATAGATCGGAAATTGAATTTATACATAGATTTTTTTTAAATGGTTAAATATGTTCAGTCTCATCACATTTATTTAATGTATTACTTAATCTGACATTATAATGGTTTCATGCTGTGCTATATTCAACTCCATTCAAAGGATAGCATTACCCAAGTCTAAACTTTAAAATAGTGAAATAAATGTGAATTATCATCACTGAATCGTTTAAATTTGACTCTGTTTGTCAAGGGAAAATGTATATATGCTACATGTTCTCATAGGAAATGCATGCCTCTAAGTACGTTTCTGCAAAACTGAAAAAAACGTACCTATACGTACGAATCGTTGCAGTTTCCAGTTGAAATGAACACTAGAAGCAGTAAAACTGCGACAACTTTTATTCCTTTTCACACAAATTATGATTTGCAGGTCTTGCAATTTGAATTATGTTATTAATTCAAAACTATTTTAACATGCTGCAACATTTGAAAACTGATACCTTCGAAGGTTAGTGTCACATAT